CTCGAGCCTCGCTAGGCACCTCTTTGACAGCTAATTCCGGCGTCAGATACTGTAATGGATCCTACGATGGAAGGAGTGGAGGCGAAAATTTCACTAGAGCCCCATTGGGCTTGCCATCCAGTGGACTCCGTCTTTTGGGACTTCCGATTCCTCAGCTTTACCATGCAATGGATTTCGTAATTGGACACCTCCGAAGCCAACTAATAATGGCTGGCTGGCCGCCCATCATGCGTTTGGGGGAATTCATGTATGTCTACTTGGCCACGAATCCTTCCCTTTGTCTTTTAACACTCGTATTATTCAGAAAATAAGCTTGTTTCAGCCTACCCATGATATTAGACCATTTTCTCTTCCATTTGACAGTCAAATTCATTGATATTTGTATGAATCAGGATAATTATTAATTCGGTCTACCAGATGTGCTCTTTTAACCGATTAGCAAGGCCATTCTTGCTGAACTTCCTATTGCTGGGGCCATATTTACATTAACAATTTGAGACATTCTATAGGATTGGGTGAAGACGGACTGAAATTCATATGATCTATGGACACTGGCAGGATGCACTCTATAAAGTCCCTCCTTAAATCTTATGGTGTTGAATCTCAGGCGGTAGAGCTAATGCCAAAGTCAGGTTGAATTTAAAATATGCCATGTTTTAGCAAGCCATATTTGCTTATTAGCCATCAAGGTTTCATAAATTGTCGTTTGATCCTTCCTTAAGATTTACATAAAGTGAAACTATGTTTCGATGCCTATTCTAAATCTCCCTTCTTGCCGTGATTTTATTTCTTATTCTTGGCAAAGGAATTCGCAAATGGATCCCATCAGAAAGCTACGGCAGACTCCCGTTGCTCGGTAGTCGTTTGCTATTACTAGATCGTTCACTTTGATACGGTCCATGAGATATATTTTTTCGATTCTATTTAAAACTGTCTGAGCCTTCGCTTATCATGGACTTTATGGGCACCCCAGAACTGTATCTCCTGGGTCTTAATCAAAAGACACTTTCTTCTGTTAATTCAAATTTTACCTCTTATTCAGATCCGGCTGTTGCCAGATTGTGCCTATATGGTCCTTCAAATGCTGCTATGACTTATCAGCCAAAGGTTATCTGAATACAAAGGTGCTTTTATAAGTCTTAAGAACAGAAATGGCTGAATTAGCGTCCGAAACTGAATCCAAGCTGAAATTGTGTTAAGC